TATATTATCGCTGCCCTCCTATAGGTACTGTCGGCTGTGTATTTGTGACCTAGTCTGATCGCTGCCCTCCTATAGGTACTGTCGGCTGTATATTATAGCTGCCCTCCTATAGGTACATGTTGTCATTGCGAGCTCCTCCTGGTGCATCCTTTGTTATTATGGAAATAATTTGGACGACTTGTTTAACAGTCTCCGATACAATTGACCTGAATCAGCAATAATGAATTAATCCTGACCCTCTCGCACTCGTTTATGACGTCACATTGACTACAATGTTTGCCCGAACCGTTTAACCCTGTTTTTTTCAAAATCACTCAAACCGGGATTTACCTTGTATTAAACAGTTCGTATATGGCATTGACGTTGGTAAACAACCCATTGACTATTAACATTAAAGACGCTATCTTATGCAATGAAGTCGCGCTGTAGAGAGTGTATTGTAGTTCCATTGGTATGCCATGTAGTCGTACAATAGAAAATTAAATGCTAAATGTAAACCAATAAATGCGTATAGATTCAACCTTCAAAATAGAGAAATAAATTCATTGTGTACGGTGACAGTCATTATACGCTGTGAACATGACGTTATCGTATCACAGGGCGTCTCCCAAATTTCTCTTACCCTAAACAGGGTAACTCCCCGATTACCGTGCCCCCACAAATTCACAGGGTACATTTAACTCCCTTTCTATTCCCTATACACTAGCACATGGTAACTCCCAGATGTCCATGCCCCCACACTTTCACAAAGTAACTCCCATATTTCTTTGCCCCTCACGATTTCACAGGGTAACTTCCGGATTTCCATGCCCCCACAACTTCACAGGGTAAACCCCCAGAAAACTATGCCCCTACACCATCATAGGGGAACTCTCTACTTTCTGTGCCCTCACAATTTTACATGGTAACTCCCAAGTTTATTTACCCTCCACGCTATCACAGGGTAACTCCCCAGTTTCTTTGCCCCCACACAATAACATGGTAACTCCCGGATTTCCATGCTCTCATACTGTCCATGGCTAATTCCAAGGTTTCCGGTCTTCATATGTCCAGTGTTTCTCCAAGCTTTCTCTACCCTTACACAATCACAACACGATTCCAGTGTTTCTTTGAAACCTTACTCTATTACAGCGCGATTTCTAAGTTTCTCTGAATCTACGCTACCGCATGCATGGTACTCCCAGCTTTCTTTGTCCCTACACTTTCACAGGGCACAGGGTTATTCCTAGGTTTTTCTCTACTCTTACAATATTACAGGGTAACTCCTAGATTTCTGTGCCCCCACACTATCACAGGGTAACACCTGGGTTTTTTCTGTCTTACACTATTACAGCGCGTCCCGCTGGTTTCTCTGAACCCTATTCTTTTAAAGGAAGGCTGTTACTTATGTTTCTCTCCTTACATTAGCATGACTAACGATTACGTTTTTCGTGATTAGACAAACTATACTAGAAATATTATATACATCAAATTATACAACTATGGTGACGTGGTTGACTATCATACGGGACAGACATTTTATGTCAGATGATAAGTGTAAAAATATCTTGCTCCTATGGTATCCAATGGCAACATAATATGATGTTGCAATTGTGACAAACATGTAATGCTGAAAGTGCCCGTCTTCAATGTACCCTGTAATTACATTAATACATGCAGTATACACACCGTGTGATAAATGATCTTATTCAGTGTCGCAGACCTGAAGAGTATCTGGTGATATCAATTATACATTCTTACATCTCCAGGGTTTCCCGTTGGCCACAGAGCATAGCCGGCGTACGTATATTAATACGTCATGTCGTTAACGGACAAATATGGAGTTCATTGAGCTTCAAGGGTACAAGGGGCGGGGCGATTAACTAAACCATGCTTCAACATGTCTTAGTACCGCTGATTGGATGATCGGTCTCTCAGTTAGTAGTAGAGATAACTGGGATTCGATATCTCTCCTCTGGAACCTCGCTTCAATGAACCCCCACCCTTTTCTTATCTAGGGTACCTATAGCTACCGTACCGATACTCCTATACACATTTTGTTTACCGAACTGTTTGTAGCAACAAGCATGCTTCATATAAATAGCCTGATAGAAGGCTCCTGTCATCTCTCTCTCTCCCTTATAGACTGGCATCAGTCGTGGTCTTCAGTATATTGCTTTAAACTGTAAGCGTTGATCTTACCTAGGTGCCGCTATGGGTATTGTAGATGGAGTTAAGTCGGCCTCCCTATTCGGGAAGCTAGCATTCTTTATGTTAGCGGTAGCTTTGCTGTTCGTGTACATCGCCTTCGCCACGACCGGGTGGGGAGAAAACGACACGGGGAAACACTGGGGGCTATGGCGCATATGTGGCAACAACGTGTACTCGCCCGGGTGTACACAAGTGGACGGATGGGCTGTCGGTAAGCACGTGTGCATCTAACTCCTTGAATTTTCTTCTTACAAATTTGCATCTGTTATACATGGTACTATGTAGATGATTGTTTTTTCAAGTCTAGCTCAGGCTTCACAATGGCAAATTATATAATTTTCTTTGATGTTTTTATACGGTATTGACAACACTAGAAAAACCATCACAGGTCAGAGGTACAAAGTGTAACGCGAGTTTGTTTGATGCAGATTAATCTACAATGTCTGGGACACCCTATGCATCGTTTGTTACTACATTCACGTTGTTACACACTGATGTCTCTAAACGTTTGTGTGACCCTGATGTGCATTGTGTGCCCGGCTGCCGCCGTTGTGTTAGTGCTACCGGAAGATACCGGTAAGGAGAATATTAGAATACGACGGGAAACATATGTCTGTGCGATGACAATTTTTCATGGCATGATATTTATGCAAAAAGCATAGCACATTTGACTTTTGACATAACGGAATAGGGAAGCCGGGTGGTGTTAAGCAAATATTGAAAACGTTGAGGTTAAGAGTCGGCTGATTACCGATTTGTATACCATAATGACCGTATGATTCAGTACGTATCATCACATTTAAAAGAATAAAAAATGTCATATCTCAATACAAAATTTACCGCAGCCATGATGTCAACTCAACATCGATATGTTCTCTGTCGGATTCAAACATGCTCTCCAGCGGGATGGAATCTCCCGGTAACACTCAATGTACGACATCGAAACGATCCTTGCTAAACTGTAGCGTGTCATACGTATTTTACAGCAGATCATTGTTTTACTGTCTAGGTTGTTCCTATGGTATAGCCTAAATAACAATGCTATGTTGTTGTATTGCCTAAGGTCAAGGTCATACTTATGCGTATGTCTAGGTCTAGGTTCTACCTATAGTACAGCATGAACAACAATGCTATATTATCGTATTGTTTAAGGCCAAAGTTATAGTATGATGCTTTCTCATGGCCAATGTTAAATGTATGTTACAGTCTAAGTACCAAAAGAAGTGCGTTGACTAAAGGTGAAATGCCACTAGCTACAGGTCAAAACAACAGGAATTGTTAAATACTTCTTGTGTTGTCAGTAGCTCAATGCAAATATGATTCATACGTCAGAACGGTTAACTGTAACATGGTATAGTTTGATATCAACTGACGATCAATACACATATACATAATATAAACAGGATAAATACAAAGATAAACAATTAAAGTGAATATTAAAACTTACTGACCCAGGTAAGAGTCATAGTAAAAAAACGATCAGGTACCAGCCAAAGGTCAAGGTTACAAACAGGTACCAGTCAAACAAGGTTACAATTTGGTACCACTCAAAGGTCAAGATTACAATTAGGTACTAGCCAAAGGTCAAGGTTACAATTAGGTACCGTCAAAGGTCAAGGTTACAATTAGGTACAAGTCAAAGGGCAAGGTTACAATTAGGTATAAGTCAAAGGTCAAGATTACAATTAGGTACCAATCAAAGGTCAATGTTACAAGTAAGTACTAGCCACAGGTCAAGGTTACAATTAGGTACCAGCCAAAGGTCAATGTTACAATTAAGTACCAGTCAAAGGTCAATGTTACAATTAAGTACTAGCCAAAGGTCAAGGTTACAATTAGGTACTAGCTAAAAGTCAAGGTTAAAGATTAGATAACGGCAAAGGCCAACCTCTCTATTAAGACACAAGCTAAGATCAGCGTTATAAAATAGGTATCGAGTAAAGATAAATGTCACAAATAGGGTTCAAGATAAAATAGGGTACCAGCATTCGATGGACGCGGTATCGAGGTACCAACTGATGCCCAACCTCAAGAATAGGGTACCAGCTAAAGTCAATAGACAAACATCAGATACCAGCTAAAGGTCAAGTTTACAAACCAGATACCAGTTTTTTGTAAACATCGCAAATAAGTTACTGACTAATGACCAACATCACATAAAGGATACCAGAATAACGTATACGTTAGTTACCAGCTAAAAGTAAATGTTAAAAATAAGATACATTACTAAATATATACAACGTTACAAATAATCTGCTAACCGAAGGTCAAAATCAGGATTAGAGTAGTATGTCAAGGTCAAAAGTAAAACAATATGTTAAAGGTTAAGTTTTCAAATTAAGAACCAGCTCTAGACGAACTTCACAAATAAGGTACCGGCTGTAGACGGACTTAACAAATCAGGTACCAGCTATAGACGAACTTCACAAATAAGGTACCGGCTGTAGACGAACTTCACAAATCAGGTACCAGCTGTAGACGAACTTCACAAATAAGGTACCGGCTATAGACGAACATCACAAATAAGGTACCGGCTGTAGACGGACTTAACAAATCAGGTACCAGCTATAGACGAACTTCACAAATAAGGTACCGGCTGTAGACGAACTTCACAAATCAGGTACCAGCTGTAGACGAACTTCACAAATAAGGTACCGGCTATAGACGAACATCACAAATAAGGTACCGGCTGTAGACGGACTTAACAAATCAGGTACCAGCTATAGACGAACTTCACAAATAAGGTACCGGCTGTAGACGAACTTCACAAATCAGGTACCAGCTGTAGACGAACTTCACAAATAAGGTACCGGCTATAGACGAACATCACAAATAAGGTACCAGCTGTAGACGAACTACACAAATAAGGTACCAGCTATAGACGAACTTCACAAATATGGTACCAGCTATAGACGAACTTCACAAATGAGGTACCAGCTATAGACGAACTTCAAAAAATAAGGTACCAGCTGTAGACGAACTTCAAAAAATAAGGTACCAGCTATAGACGAACTTCACAAATCAGGTACCAGCTATAGACGAACTTCACAAATAAGGTACCAGCTGTAGACGAACTTCACAAATAAGGTACCAGCTATAGACGAACTTCACAAATTAGGTACCAGCTATAGACGAACTTCACAAATAAGGTACCAGCTAAAGACGAACTTCACAAATAAGGTACCAGCTATAGACGAACTTCAAAAAATAAGGTACCAGCTATAGACGAACTTCACAAATAAGGTACCAGCCTATTGCAAGTTTACAGGAGGTACCAGCTAAATGTCAATGTCACAGATGAGGCCAAGGTTCAGATACCTATTTAAGATTAACTTTAAATAAGATACCCGCGAAAGGACATCTCAAATATTGTGCAAGGAAAGGGCAACGTTACAAGCATGCACCACATAGAGGTCAAGGTTACATGAACAAAGGATTTTCGAAATAAAGGTCAAAATTATTGTTAAAGTAACACACTATAATATTATGTCAATGTCGTCGATGTAGTTACATGCTAAATGTCTAGGCTACAAAAATGTACGTTTATGGTCAATGACGCAAACGATGTTTTCAGCCAAAAGTCAAGGTTACAAATAAAGTACAAGGTAGAGATAAATGTTATAAACATTCTGTCAACTCAAGGTCATGATTAAGATTACATGTTTAAGGTCAAGGTTACAAATAAAATAACTTGCAAAATGTCAAGCTTACACAAATGTTCCAGCTAAAGGCCAGTGTCACAAATGATGTACTAGTCAAAGGTCAGAGTTACAAATACATTGTAAGTTACCACCTAAATGTCAGAGTTACAAATATAGTACGGGTAAAGGTCCATTTTCAAATAATAAAAAAAGATACTAGGTAGCTAAGGTCAAGGTCACCAATAATGTACTAGTTCATAAAAACGTTATGATTAACTAGTGAAATGAGCTTCATCTTGAGTTTGTGGTGTTGTAGATTGGTATGCCGCCGTCCAGGCACTGGCTATATTCGGTTTCGTGGGCATCAACGTCGCTTTCCTGTTGGTTTGTCTTCTTCTCTTCACCTCTCAGTGTGGGGGCAACAAAGAGGTCAGCATGGGCGCTGCCATCGTGTGCATCGTCACAGGTAAGTGCGCATTTTTGTTTCTTATTGTAGGTGAAAATTGCCCTTCCGTTTGCAGTATAGTTGAGTTCAGACCTTTTACTTGTAGTATGGGTGAGTAAAGATATTCACTCTGTAGTATGGGTGAGTACAGATATTATCTCTGAATAACAGGCGTGTACAGACCTTCTTTCTGAAGTGCAGGAGAGTACAGACCTCTCTGTAGAAATGTAGGTACATACCTATCTGTAGAACAGGTAAGTACAGATCTCTCTGTAGCACAGGTGAGTACAGATATCTCTGTAGTACAGGTGAGTACAGATCTCTCTGTAGTACAGGAAAGTACAGATCTCTCTGTAGTACAGGTGAGTACAGATCTCTCTGTAGTACAGGTGAGTTCAGATCTCTCTGTAGTACAGGTGAGTACAGACCTCTCTGTAGTACAGATGAATACAGACCTCTCTGTAGTACAGGTGAGTACAGATCTCTCTGTAGTACAGGTAAGTACAGATCTCTCTGTAGTACAGGTGAGTACAGATTTCTCTGTAGTACAGGTGAGTACAGATCTCTCTGTAGTACAGGTGAGTACATACCTCTCTGTAGTACAGGTGAGTACAGACCTCTCTGTCTGTAGAACAGGTGAGTACAGATCTCTCTGTAGTACAGGTAAATACAGATCTCTCTGTAGTACAAATGAGTACAGATCTCTCTGTAGTACAGGTGAGTACATACCTCTCTGTAGTACAGGTGAGTACAGACCTCTCTGTAGTACATGTGAGTACAGATCTCTCTGTAGTACAGGTAAGTACAGATCTCCCTGTAGTACAGGTGAGTACAGATTTCTCTGTAGTACAGGTGAGGACAGATCTCTCTGTAGTACAGGTGAGTACAGATCTCTCTGTAGTACAGGTGAATACATTTCTCTCTGTAGTACAGGTGAGTACAGATATCTCTGTAGAACAGGTGAGTACAGATCTCTCTGTAGTACAGATGGATACAGACCTCTCTGTAGTACAGGTAAGTACAGACCTCTCTGTAGTACTGGTGAGTACAGATCTCTCTGTAGAACAGGTAAGTACAGATCTCTCTGTAGTACAGGTAAGTACAGATCTCTCTGTAGTACTGGTGAGTACAGATCTCTCTGTAGAACAGGTAAGTACAGATCTCTCTGTAGTACAGGTGAGTACATATTTCTCTGTAGTACAGGTGAGTACAGATGTCTCTGTAGTACAGGTGAGTACATATTTCTCTGCAGTACAGATGAGTACAGATCTCTCTGTAGTACAGGTGAATACATTTCTCTCTGTAGTACAGGTGAGTACAGATATCTCTGTAGTACAGGTGAGTACAGATCTCTCTGTAGTACAGGTGAGTACAGACCTCTCTGTAGTACAGGTGAGTACATACCTCTCTGTAGTACAGGTGAGTACAGACCTCTCTGTAGTGCAGGTGAGTACAGACCTCTCTGTAGTACAGGTAAGTACATATCTCTCTGTAGTGCAGGTGAGTACAGACCTCTCTGTATTACAGGTGAGTACAGAAATATCTGTATTACAGGTGAGTACAGATCTCTCTGTAGTACAGGTGAGTACCGATCTCTCTGTAGTACAGGTAAGTACAGACCTCTCTATAGTACAGGTGATTACAGACTCTCTGTAAAACAGGTGAGAACACTTCTTCCTGTAGTACAGGTGAGTACAGATCTCTCTGTAGTACAGGTAAGTACATACCTCTCTGTAGTACAGATGAGTACAGATCTCTCTGTAGTACAGATGAGTACAGATCTCTCTGTGGTACAGGTGAGTACAGATCTCTCTGTAGTACAGGTAAGTACAGACCTCTCTGTAGTACAGATGAGTACATATCCCTCTGTAGTACAGGTGAGTACAGATCTCTCTGTATTACAGGTGAGTACAGATATCTCTGTAGTACAGGTGAGTACAGATATCTCTGTAGTACAGGTGAGTACAGATCTCTCTGTAGTACAGGTGAGTACAGACCTCTCTGTAGTACAGGTGAGTACAGACCTCTCTGTAGTACAGGTGAGTACAGACCTCTCTGTAGTACAGGTGAGTACAGACCTCTCTGTAGTACAGGTGAGTACAGACCTCTCTGTAGTACAGGTGAGTACAGACCTCTCTGTAGTACAGGTGAGTACAGACCTCTCTGTAGTACAGGTGAGTACAGACCTCTCTGTAGTACAGGTGAGTACAGACCTCTCTGTAGTACAGGTGAGTACAGACCTCTCTGTAGTACAGGTAAGTACAGACCTCTCTGTAGTACAGGTGAGTACAGACCTCTCTGTAGTACAGGTGATTACAGACTCTCTGTAAAACAGGTGAGAACACTTCCTCCTGTAGTACAGGTGAGTACAGATCTCTCTGTAGTACAGGTAAGTACAGACCTCTCTGTAGTACAGATGAGTACAGATCTCTCTGTAGTACAGATGAGTACAGATCTCTCTGTAGTACAGGTGAGTACAGATCTCTCTGTAGTACAGGTGAGTACAGACCTCTCTGTAGTACAGGTGAGTACAGACCTCTCTGTAGTACAGGTGATTACAGACTCTCTGTAAAACAGGTGAGAACACTTCCTCCTGTAGTACAGGTGAGTACAGATCTCTCTGTAGTACAGGTAAGTACAGACCTCTCTGTAGTACAGATGAGTACAGATCTCTCTGTAGTACAGGTGAGTACAGATCTCTCTGTAGTACAGGTGAGTACAGATCTCTCTGTAGTACAGGTGAGTACAGACCTCTCTGTAGTACAGGTGAGTACAGACCTCTCTGTAGTACAGGTGAGTACAGACCTCTCTGTAGTACAGGTGAGTACAGACCTCTCTGTAGTACAGGTGAGTACAGACCTCTCTGTAGTACAGGTGAGTACAGACCTCTCTGTAGTACAGGTGAGTACAGACCTCTCTGTAGTACAGGTGAGTACAGACCTCTCTGTAGTACAGGTGAGTACAGACCTCTCTGTAGTACAGGTGAGTACAGACCTCTCTGTAGTACAGGTGAGTACAGACCTCTCTGTAGTACAGGTGAGTACAGACCTCTCTGTAGTACAGGTGAGTACAGACCTCTCTGTAGTACAGGTGAGTACAGACCTCTCTGTAGTACAGGTGAGTACAGACCTCTCTGTAGTACAGGTGAGTACAGACCTCTCTGTAGTACAGGTGAGTACAGACCTCTCTGTAGTACAGGTGAGTACAGACCTCTCTGTAGTACAGGTGAGTACAGACCTCTCTGTAGTACAGGTGAGTACAGACCTCTCTGTAGTACAGGTGAGTACAGACCTCTCTGTAGTACAGGTGAGTACAGACCTCTCTGTAGTACAGGTGAGTACAGACCTCTCTGTAGTACAGGTGAGTACAGACCTCTCTGTAGTACAGGTGAGTACAGACCTCTCTGTAGTACAGGTGAGTACAGACCTCTCTGTAGTACAGGTGAGTACAGACCTCTCTGTAGTACAGGTGAGTACAGACCTCTCTGTAGTACAGGTGAGTACAGACCTCTCTGTAGTACAGATAAGTACAGACCTCTCTGTAGTACAGATGAGTACAGATCTCTCTGTAGTACAGGTGAGTACAGACCTCTCTGTAGTACAGGTAAGTACAGACCTCTCTGTAGTACAGGTGAGTACAGACCTCTCTGTAGTACAGGTGAGTACAGACCTCTCTGTAGTACAGGTGAGTACAGACCTCTCTGTAGTACAGGTGAGTACAGACCTCTCTGTAGTACAGGTGAGTACAGACCTCTCTGTAGTACAGGTGAGTACAGACCTCTCTGTAGTACAGGTGAGTACAGACCTCTCTGTAGTACAGGTGAGTACAGACCTCTCTGTAGTACAGGTGAGTACAGACCTCTCTGTAGTACAGGTGAGTACAGACCTCTCTGTAGTACAGGTGAGTACAGACCTCTCTGTAGTACAGGTGAGTACAGACCTCTCTGTAGTACAGGTGAGTACAGACCTCTCTGTAGTACAGGTGAGTACAGACCTCTCTGTAGTACAGGTGAGTACAGACCTCTCTGTAGTACAGGTGATTACAGACTCTCTGTAAAACAGGTGAGAACACTTCCTCCTGTAGTACAGGTGAGTACAGATCTCTCTGTAGTACAGGTAAGTACAGACCTCTCTGTAGTACAGATGAGTACAGATCTCTCTGTAGTACAGATGAGTACAGATCTCTCTGTAGTACAGGTGAGTACAGATCTCTCTGTAGTACAGGTGAGTACAGATCTCTCTGTAGTACAGGTGAGTACAGACCTCTCTGTAGTACAGGTGAGTACAGACCTCTCTGTAGTACAGGTGAGTACAGACCTCTCTGTAGTACAGGTGAGTACAGACCTCTCTGTAGTACAGGTGAGTACAGACCTCTCTGTAGTACAGGTGAGTACAGACCTCTCTGTAGTACAGGTGAGTACAGACCTCTCTGTAGTACAGGTGAGTACAGACCTCTCTGTAGTACAGGTGAGTACAGACCTCTCTGTAGTACAGGTGAGTACAGACCTCTCTGTAGTACAGGTGAGTACAGACCTCTCTGTAGTACAGGTGAGTACAGACTCTCTGTAAAACAGGTGAGAACACTTCCTCCTGTAGTACAGGTGAGTACAGATCTCTCTGTAGTACAGGTAAGTACAGACCTCTCTGTAGTACAGGTGAGTACAGACCTCTCTGTAGTACAGGTGAGTACAGACCTCTCTGTAGTACAGGTGAGTACAGACCTCTCTGTAGTACAGGTGAGTACAGACCTCTCTGTAGTACAGGTGAGTACAGACCTCTCTGTAGTACAGGTGAGTACAGACCTCTCTGTAGTACAGATAAGTACAGACCTCTCTGTAGTACAGATGAGTACAGATCTCTCTGTAGTACAGGTGAGTACAGACCTCTCTGTAGTACAGGTAAGTACAGACCTCTCTGTAGTACAGGTGAGTACAGACCTCTCTGTAGTACAGGTGAGTACAGATCTCTCTGTAGTACAGGTGAGTACAGACCTCTCTGTAGTACAGGTGAGTACAGACCTCTCTGTAGTACAGGTGAGTACAGATCTCTCTGTAGTACAGGTGAGTACAGACCTCTCTGTAGTACAGGTGAGTACAGACCTCTCTGTAGTACAGGTGAGTACAGACCTCTCTGTAGTACAGGTGAGTACAGACCTCTCTGTAGTACAGGTGAGTACAGACCTCTCTGTAGTACAGGTGAGTACAGACCTCTCTGTAGTACAGGTGAGTACAGACCTCTCTGTAGTACAGGTGAGTACAGACCTCTCTGTAGTACAGGTGAGTACAGACCTCTCTGTAGTACAGGTGAGTACAGACCTCTCTGTAGTACAGGTGAGTACAGACCTCTCTGTAGTACAGGTGAGTACAGACCTCTCTGTAGTACAGGTGAGTACAGACCTCTCTGTAGTACAGGTGAGTACAGACCTCTCTGTAGTACAGGTGAGTACAGACCTCTCTGTAGTACAGGTGAGTACAGACCTCTCTGTAGTACAGGTGAGTACAGACCTCTCTGTAGTACAGGTGAGTACAGACCTCTCTGTAGTACAGGTGAGTACAGACCTCTCTGTAGTACAGGTGAGTACAGACCTCTCTGTAGTACAGGTGAGTACAGACCTCTCTGTAGTACAGGTGAGTACAGACCTCTCTGTAGTACAGGTGAGTACAGACCTCTCTGTAGTACAGGTGAGTACAGACCTCTCTGTAGTACAGGTGAGTACAGACCTCTCTGTAGTACAGGTGAGTACAGACCTCTCTGTAGTACAGGTGATTACAGACCTCTCTGTAGTACAGGTGAGTACAGACCTCTCTGTAGTACAGGTGAGTACAGACCTCTCTGTAGTACAGGTGATTACAGACTCTCTGTAAAACAGGTGAGAACACTTCCTCCTGTAGTACAGGTGAGTACAGATCTCTCTGTAGTACAGGTAAGTACAGACCTCTCTGTAGTACAGATGAGTACAGATCTCTCTGTAGTACAGATGAGTACATACCTCTCTGTAGTACAGGTGAGTACAGACTTCTCTTTAGTACAGGTAAGTACAGACCTCTCTGCAGTACAGGTGAGTACAGATCTCTCTGTATTCCAGGTGAGTACATATATCTCTGTAGTACAGGTGAGTACAGATCTCTCTGAAGTACAGGTGAGTACAATCTCTCTGTAGTACAGGTGAGTACAGATCTCTCTGAAGTACAGGGGAGTACAGATCTCTCTGTAGTACAGGTAAGTACAGATCTCTCTGTAGTACAGATTAGTACAGATCTCTCTGTAGTACAGATGAGGACAGATCTCTCTGTAGTACAGGCGAGTACACACCTCTCTGTAGTACTACCTCTCTGTAGTACAAGTGAGTATATACCTCGATGTAGTACAAAGATGAGTACAGATCTCTCTGTATTACAGGTAAGTACAGATCTCTCTGTAGTACAGATTAGTACAGATATCTCTGTAGTACAGATGAGGACAGATCTCTCTGTAGTACAGGCGAGTACACACCTCTCTGTAGTACTACCTCTCTGTAGTACAAGTGAGTATATACCTCGATGTAGTACAAAGATGAGTACAGATCTCTCTGTATTACAGGTAAGTACAGATCTCTCTGTAGTACAGGTGAGTACAGGTCTCTCTGTAGTACAGGGGCGTACAGATCTCTCTGTAGTACAGGTGAGTACATACCTCTCTGTAGTACAGGTGAGTACAGACTTCTCTTTAGTACAGGCAAGTACAGACCTCTCTGCAGTACAGGTGAGTACAGATCTCTCTGTAGTACAGATTAGTACAGATCTCTCTGTAGTACAGATGAGGACAGATCACTCTGTAGTACAGGCGAGTACACACCTCTCTGTAGTACTACCTCTCTGTAGTACAAGTGAGTATATACCTCGATGTAGTACAAAGATGAGTACAGATCTCTCTGTATTACAGGTAAGTACAGATCTCTCTGTAGTACAGATTAGTACAGATATCTCTGTAGTACAGATGAGGACAGATCTCTCTGTAGTACAGGCGAGTACACACCTCTCTGTAGTACTACCTCTCTGTAGTACAAGTGAGTATATACCTCGATGTAGTACAAAGATGAGTACAGATCTCTCTGTATTACAGGTAAGTACAGATCTCTCTGTAGTACAGGTAAGTACAGACCTCTCTGCAGTACAGGTGAGTACAGATCTCTCTGTAGTACAGATTAGTACAGATCTCTCTGTAGTACAGATGAGGACAGATCTCTCTGTAGTACAGGCGAGTACACACCTCTCTGTAGTACTACCTCTCTGTAGTACAAGTGAGTATATACCTCGATGTAGTACAAGCGAGTACATACCTCTCTGTAGTACAGGTAAGTACATACCTCTCTGTAGTACAGGTGAGTACAGATCTCTCTGTAGTAAAGTGGAGAACACACCTTCCTGTAGTACTACCTCTCTGTAGTACTACCTCTCTGTAGTACAAGTGAGTATATATACCTCGATGTAGTACAGGCGAGTACATACCTCTCTGTAGTACAAGTGAGTGCAGACTTTAGTGTTGTACAGGTGAGTACAGATCATTACTCTGTAGTACAAGTGAGTAAGAACTTTTATTGTGATAGAGATGAGTAGAGACCCTCCAAGGTGACCATAGGTTTACGCTGTGTTGTACAGATGAGAACGTGCCTTTTTTTGTTGTATGTAGTACAGGTGAATTCGCAACTTAATTTACAGATGAGTATGGACTATTTCTCTACAGATAGAAATGTTCAGGTTTATAACAGGTTATAACGATTTAAGTGATGTATAATCAATTCTATCAAATTCAATAGTAACGATTTTACGTGTTTTGAGTTGTTTGTGTAAAGGTTAGAATTATCTGCTCCTCCTCGTATTATTTAACATCGGCAGTCCACGTTGCTAAGTAGTGGGAGTAAACATAACAACATATATCTAATGCATTTTATATTGGTTTGACATTAACATATTTGGACCGTTAATGCTGGTGTGGTGTCAGAGGAGTATTACTACATGACCACGCCCATTGAAATTTCAACAATACCGTCAAAATCTTTACATATGTGAATTAAGGATCCCTGTACCATTACCGATAACCAAAGTTATACACCGGAAACTATTTTTCTGTCGTGACAATAGCTTTGAAAAAACATTTCTAAGAAAAATGTATACATCAAAAAACGTTTATGAATAAATAACGGTGTTCTGAGTGTAACGTTTTTATAACGAGGCTAGACAGAATTCGAACCATTCACCTCCAGTTACTATACTGTCGCTCTAACCAAATGAGCCATCTGGTCTAAATCTAGGAGAAGTTAGGTAGTTTATTGACATGCTGGTGGTAGATATGTTGTTTTATGTATATATCCCACGGTTAAATCTACAAATATTTCCCACTCTATCCAAGTGTTTGATGTATGTATTACCCAGGAAAAACACAATTTTATATGTATGTTCACTGGTAAAACATGTTGTGTTATTTATATATCCCGAGTAAATTCTCTTCTATGTATAAATTCAATGGTAAAAAATTGTAAACAACTTCATCCACATATTCTCGTTGATAATTTGATTGGCTCATAGACTCTTGCTCATATTCAAAACAAAAAGTAGCCAAATTGATTAGTCAGTTGATCGTCATTCGTACAAGTATAACAATTTAGTTTACAAACGCTTATTTTTCATTACATATATTATGTATATGTTCCCCTTTTAACAATGATTTATGGGTATATGTTTTATGTATATATTGCCCCGTAAATGAAGTGGTTTGTGTATTTTTAGGCGCACTGCTGCTGATCGGGTGTATAGTATTTGGCGCTGAGTTTGACGATCTCTTCATCGACAAGAACCTAGTGAAACACAAACTTTCATACTCGTTTGGGTTAGCTATTGTGGCCAGCCTTCTTGAAATAGTCTCCGGAGTTTTGCTATTGCTTGAAGGATTAGGAAAAGGAACATCACCTTCCGGCTAAGCGGAGACGAGATGTGGAATGATGACTGTTACTAACAACCGTTGAACTTAATGAAAACAATGAGAGGTTATGATGCGTGTCTGAGTAGTGTGCAGCACAGCACGTCATGTTTATAGAACGTCTAGAAAAGGAATTATTCTTAAGTTGTCGACATCCGTCCTTGTGTATGAAAAACTGTGTTATGACGTAGTATCGGATAATGATATAGGTGCAAATAAACATCCGTGATGCCAGTCTTGTCAACGATATCTAGATCCACATGTCTTGTTAACGCTATCCTCTCTTGATCCACAAGCGTTATATACGATATCTAGAGTCTCATCGAACATTGTTTGTGATATCTGGAGTCTCATCGAACATTGTTTGTGATATCTGGAGTCTCATCGAACATTCTTTGTGAATCGAACATTGTTTGTGATATCTGGAGTATCATCGAACATTGTTTGTGATATCTGGAGTCTCATCGAATATTGTTTGTGATATCTGGAGTCTCATCGAACATTCTATGTGAATCGAACATTGTTTGTGATACTCTGCCAGAGTGTGACTCCAGATATTCATTCCAAGAGCCTCGCCTCAGCTTTTGCTGACGCTTGTAAAAAACAATAAGAGGTTTTTTTATTTAATTTTCTAAATAAAAAATACGCTGTAACTCTGTGTCGACTTATTATTGTATTGGCTTTCTATCTTTAAGAATGTTTGCATTGTTCAACATATTATTACTTTTGTTCCGTGTTCTTCCGAAAAAGTGCAGCCTTTGCGTTGTTCATATTCTAGGAAGACAGGTGTCTGTATGGAGACAGGTGTCTGTATGGAGACAGGTATCTGTATGCCTGTTATCTATAGAGACAGGTGTCTGAATGGAGACAGGTGTCTGTTTGCCTGTTATCTATAGAGACAGGTGTCTGTACGGAGACAGGTGTCTGTATGGAAACAGGTGTCTGTATGACTGTTATCTATATAGACAGGTGTCTGTATGTCTGTTATATATTGAGACAGGTGTCTGAATGTCTGTAATCTATAGAAACAGGTGTATGTATGTCTGATATCTATAGAGACAGGTGTCTGTATGTCTGTTATCTATAGAGACAGGTGTCTGTATGTCTGTTATCTATAGAGACAGGTGTCTGTATGCCTGTTATCTATAGAGACAGGTGTTTGTATGCCTGCTATCTATAGAGACAGGTGTCGGTATGTCTGTTATCTATGAACATATTGTATAGAGACAAGTGTCTCTATGCCTGTTATCTATAGAGACAGGTGTCTGTAAGCCTGTTATCTATAGAAACAGGTGTCTGGATGGAGACAGGTGTCTGTACGTCTGTAATCTATAAAATGTTGTATAGAGACAGGTGTTTGTATGTCTGTTATCTATAAACATGCTGTATAGAGACAGGTGTCTGTATGTCTGCTATCTATAAACATGTTGAATAGAGACAGGTGTATGTATGCCTATTATCTAAAGAGACAGGTGTCGGTATGCCTGTTATCTATAAACATGTTGTATAGAGACATGTGTCGGTATGCCTGTTATCTATAGTGAAATGTGTCTGTATGTCTGCTATCTATAGAGACAGGTGTTTGCATGCATGTTATCTATAAACATGTTGTATAGAGACATGTGTCGGTATGCCTGTTATCTATAGTTAAATGTGTCTGTATGTCTCTTATCTATATAGACAGGTGTCTGTATGTCTGTTATATATAGAGACAGGTGTCTGAATGTCTGTAATCTATAGAGACAGGTGTCTGTATGCCTGCTATCTATAGAGACAGGTGTTTGTATGCCTGCTATCTATAGAGACAGGTGTTTGTATGCCTGTTATCTATAAACATGTTGTATAGAGACATGTGTCTGTATGTCGGTTATCTATAAACATGTTGTATATTGACAGGTGTCTGTATGCCGGTTATCTATAAACATGTTGTATAGAGACAAGTGTCTGTATGCCTGTTATCTATAAACATGTTGTATAGAGACAGGTGTCTGTATGCCGGTTATCTATAAACATGTTGTATAGAGACAAGTGTCTGTATGCCTGTTATCTATACGCCTGTTATCTATAGAGACAGGTGTCTGTATGTCTGCTATCTATAGAGACAGGTGTCTGTATGCCTGTTATCTATAGAGACTGGTGTCTGTATGCCTGCTATCTATAGAGACAGGTGTTTGCATGCCTGTTATCTATAAACATGTTGTATAGAGACATGTGTCGGTATGCCTGTTATCTATAGTGAAATGTGTCTGTATGTCTCTTATCTATAGAGACAGGTGTCTGTATGTCTGTTATCTATAGAAACAGGTGTCTGTATGTCTGCTATCTATAGAGACAGGTGTTAGTATGCCTGTTATCTATAAATATGTTGTATAGAGACATGTGTCGGTATGCCTGTTATCTATAGTGAAATGTGTCTGTATGTCTCTTATCTATAGAAACAGGTGTCTGTATGTCTGTAATCTATAGAAACAGGTGTATGTTTGTCTGATATTTATAGAGACAGGTGTCTGTATGCCTGTTATCTATAGAGACAGGTGTCTGTATGCCTGCTATCTATAGAGACAGGTGTTTGCATGCCTGTTATCTATAAACATGTTGTATAGAGACATGTGTCGGTATGCCTGTTATCTATAGTGAAATGTGTCTGTATGTCTCTTATCTATAGAGACAGGTGTCTGTATGTCTGTTATCTATAGAGACAGGTGTCTGTATGTCTGCTATCTATAGAGACAGGTGTTAGTATGCCTGTTATCTATAAACATGTTGTATAGAGACATGTGTCGGTATGCCTGTTATCTATAGTGAAATGTGTCTGTATGTCTCTTATCTATAGAGACAGGTGTCTGTATGTCTGTTATCTATAGAGACAGGTGTCTGTATGTCTGCTATCTATAGAGACAGGTGTTAGTATGCCTGTTATCTATAAACATGTTGTATAGAGACATGTGTCAGTATGCCTGTTATCTATAGTGAAATGTGTCTGTATGTCTCTTATCTATAGAAACAGGTGTCTGTATGTCTGTAATCTATAGAAACAGGTGTCTGTATGTCTCTTATCTATAGAGACAGGTGTCTGTATGCCTGTTAACTATAGAGACAGGTGTCTGTATGCCTGCTATCTATAGAGACAGGTGTTTGCATGCCTGTTATCTATAAACATGTTGTATAGATACATGTGTCGGTATGCATGTTATCTATAGTGAAATGTGTGTGTATGTCTCTTATCTATAGAGACAGGTGTCTGTATGTCTGTAATCTATAGAAACAGGAGTCTGTATGTCTCTTATCTATAGAGACAGGTGTCTGTCTGTCTGTACTCTATAGAAACAGGAGTCTGTATGTCTCTTATCTATAGAGACAGGTGTCTGTATGTCTGTAATCTATAGAAACAGGTGTATGTTTGTCTGATATCTATAGAGACAGGTGTCTGTATGCCTGCTATCTATAGAGACAGGTGTTTTCATGCCTGTTATCTATAAACATGTTGTATAGAGACATGTGTCGGCATGCATGTTATCTATAGTGAAATGTGTCTGTATGTCTCTTATCTATAGAGACAGGTGTCTGTATGTCTGTAATCTATAGAAACAGGTGTATGTATGTCTGATATCTATAGAGACATGTGTCTGTATGTCTGTTATCTATAGAGACAGGTGTATGTAGGCCTGTTATCTATAGAGACAGGTGTCTGTATGCCTGCTATCTGCTATCTATAGAGACAGGTGTTTGTATGCCTGTTATCTATAAAGATGTTGTATAGAGACAGGTGTTTGTATGCCTGTTCTCTATAAACATGTTGTATATTGACAGGTGTCTGTATGCCGGTTATCTATAAACATGTTTTATATAGACAAGTGCCTGTATGCCTGTTATCTATTTTTACGTCTATTATATATAGATAGTTATCTATAAACATGTTGTGGTGTATGTATGTCTGATATCTATAGAGACAGGTGTCTTTATGTCTGCTATCTATAGAGACGGGGGTTTGCATGCATGTTATCTATAAACATGTTGGATAGAGACATGTGTCGGTATGCCTGTTATCTATAGTGAAATGTGTCGGTATGTCTCTTATCTATGGAAACAGGTGTATGTTTGTCTGATATCTATAGAGACAGGTGTATGTAGGCCTTTTATCTATAGAGACAGGTGACTGTATGCCTGCTATCTATAGAGACAGGTGTCTTTATGTCTGCTATCTATAGAGACAGGGGTTTGTATGCCTGTTATCTATAGAGACAGGTCTCCGTATGCCTGCTATCTGCTATCTATAGAGACAGGGGTTTGTATGCCTGTTATCTATAAACCTGTTGTTAAGTAAACATGTTGTATAGAGACATGTGTCTGTGTGTCTGTTATCTATAGAGACAGGTGTTTGTATGCCTGTTATCTATACGCCTGTTATCTATAGAGACAGGTGTCTGTATGTCAGTTATCTATAGAGACAGTTGTTTGTATGCCTGTTATCTATAAACATGTTGTATAGAGACATGTGTCGTTGTGCCTGTTATCTATAGTGAAATGCGTCTGTATGTCTCTTATCTATAGGAACAGGTGTCTGTATCTCTGTAATCTATAGAAACAGGTGTTTGTTTGTCTGATATTTATAGAGACAGATGTCAGTATGCCTGTTATCTATAGAGACAGGGGTCTGTATGCCTGCTATCTATGGAGACAGGTGTTTGCATGCCTGTTATCTATAAACATGTTGTATAGAGACATGTGTCGGTATGCCTGTTATCTATTAACATGTTGTATAGAAACATGTTTCGGAATGCCTGTTATCTATAGTGAAATGTGTCTGTATGTCTCTTATCTATAGAAACAGGTGTCTGTATCTCTGTAATCTATAGAATCTATAAACATGTTGTATAGAGACATGTGAGACAGGTGTCAGTATGCCTGTTATCTATAGAGACAGGTGACTGTATGCCTGCTATCTATAGAGACAGGTGTTTGCATGCCTGTTATCTATAAACATGTTGTATAGAGACATGTGTCGGTATGCCTGTTATCTATAGTGAAATGTGTGTGTATGTCTCTTATTTATAGAGACAGGTGTCGGTATGCCTGTTATCTATAGAGACAGGTGTCTGTATGTCTGTTATCTATAGAGACAGGTGTTAGTATGCCTGTTATCTATAAACATGTTGTATAGAGACATGTGTCGGTATGCCTGTTATATATAGAGGAATGTGTCTGTATGTCTCTTATCTATAGAAACAGGTGTCTGTATGTCTGTAATCTATAGAAACAGGTGTATGTTTGTCTGATATATATAGAGACAGGTGTCTGTATGCCTGTTAACTATAGAGACACGTGTCTGTATGCCTGCTATCTATAGAGACAGGTGTTTGCATGCCTGTTATCTATAAACATGTTGTATAGAGACATGTGTCGGTATGCATGTTATCTATAGTGAAATGTGTCTGTATGTCTCTTATCTATAGGGACAGGTGTCTGTATGTCTGTAATCTATAGAAACAGGTATATGTATGTCTGATATATATAGAGACAGGTGCCTGTATGACTGTTATCTATAGAGACAGGTGTCTGTATGCCTGTTATCTTTAGAGACAGGTGTTTGTATGCCTGTTGTCTATAAACATGTTGTATAGAGACAGGTGTCTGTATGCCGGTTAT